AGATGTGCTCCTGCCCCTCGAGATGTCTGTCCGGCCGCTTGGCTCTGCCCTGGCTTTCCAGCCGCCTTCACGTTTTCGTGTGCGACGGAGGTTGTACGCTAAATATTTGCTTTGTCGCTGAGTCACAGCGAGGTTAATGAACTGAATCGTTGGAATCTTTTACGAGCAAAGAAAAACAAGCATGTTAAACATAGCCGCTCTTCAGGACGTTAGCGCGTGCGATTATCTTTTTAATGATCCTGGTGCAGCGCTCTTGGGTTGCTCTGGGGTTGTACTTACTCGTGTATTGCAGGTATCTGTCATCTGATATTGCAGCTTTCAGCTTGGCTTCTCCCCCTGCCCGACGGTTGTGAAGCCCTGCAGTTTGTTTTAGCGAAGTCAAGGCTTGCACCGAGGGCTAGGACCACGCGTGGGAGAAGCTAGCACCGTGCCGTAGTCAAAGATTTGCGCGCCAGGCTTATCAGCCTGGGCCGTTTGTGGGTTTGGCTGCTGCCAGCAGCCAGCTCCATGCACAAGCGGTAACAGGAGAAGCGTCTGGGGAATTGGTGATTTCATGTCACCGTTTACCTCTTACGATCATAGCATAATTCTCCCTGAGCAAACAGCTCTGGACAATGTCTTCTACCACACCCTTTGGAGTGATACCTTGCTGCTCTCGAGTTGCTGAGCTCCAGCAGGGAGAAATCCATTTTTCTGTGAAAACAAGGCAAAGAAAGTCAAGGCAGTCCGTCTTTCTCAGGCAGAGGTGGAGGGATGTTTGTTTGGGGGGTTCTGCTTGCTTTGTACTCCTTCGGAGATAAAAGCATTTATCTGGTGCAGAGATCTGTGCAGTCCATAATCCATCGCTTTGCTGGGAGAGGGTTTGCACTTTGTGTTCTGTATTTGAGATGGATTTTTTAGATATTGCCCGTGTCCTTATACTCTTGGACACTGAAGGAGGAGGCGTGTTTGAGGAAGAGGGCAGGCGGCCGCCTGAATTCAGTCCCCCCTGCTTTCCGACAGAAAGTGTTGCAATAGGGAAGCACGCTATAATCCTTTGCAGCGTTCGTTGCAGCCTGACCTGTGCTCTGTATTAGCTCGTAGTCCAAGGTCCCAGAATAAACAATGAACGAATCCACTCCCTTTTTTGGGGATGGCGTTGTTCGTTCTGGCCAAGTCGAAAGCTGCCTCCCCGGAGCGGGGCGAGCGGGCGCCTGGGCTCCGGCACGGCCGGGCCCGGGCAACCCCGCTGGGGCAGCACGGAAATGAGCCCGGGCTGCCGGGGTCGGCCTCCTCGGCTGGTAATTACAGCAGATTTGGAGCTTTGATAAAGAGCACTTATCTCCTTCGTGGAAACAGGATTTTCCCTGCTCTCTGTCTTTACAATGGTGAGCTTCGTTCGCTCTCCTCCCCCTTGCCTGTCAAATCTTTTTGTTGTTAAAAGCTTTTTCCCCACCGGATTCCCAGGCAGGATTGTGCCAAGTATGTGGCGCGATAAATGACTTGCACGTTAGTTGCCTGTTGCCTTTGTCTTTCGAAATGCAGCTCGGTTCCCAGCGTGTGTAATTTCAGCGGTTAACACAACTTTTGTGGATGTCAGGTCTCGGTTCTCAGCACTTGGAGGAGGATCACTTGGGTTTTTCCCCAGGAACGTTATTTCCAAACCTGCTGGCTGACCGCAGCCAGTGCTCTAACCTCTGCAGCGCTTTGCTCTCTCCACCTCGCTCCTGGAACTGATGCTTTGAAAAAGGGGTTTTACCCCTTTGAAAGCAGAGATGGCTGCCTGGAGGTCCCCAGCTGTGCTCTGCGCCAGGAAACGCCTGCAACGTTCGTGTTACTGGGTCAAGGCAAGGCAGGCGCTTAAACAAACTTATGCAACTCGGTTCAATAAAATCAGTGCGGCCAAAGAAGCAGTAGATACTGCCTCTTCTCTTGAGAAGAAAGCCTTACGTGTCCGTTGAATGATGGAGCCAGGGCATTGTAGAGCAGCCTACAAATTATGGATGTGGTTTTCTCTCCCACCCTTCTCTTACCCAGATGTTCCAGAAGGAGCAAGTGGATCCTCTTCAGCTGAAACTGCAGCAAGTGAATGGCGTTGGTCAAGGGCTCATCCAAAGCGCTGGCAAAAACTGCGACGTCCAAGGGCTGGAACATGACATGGAGGAAATCAACACTCGCTGGAACACCCTCAACAAAAAGGTGAGCGCTGCAGGGAAGGGGGTGCTGCTGGTCCCGCTGGTGCCCACGGAGGCTCGCTGGGGTCCTGTAGGAGAAGGGGGGCGTTGCCAGGAAGTCGAGCCCAGATGAGCTGCCAAACCTCTCTCCGAGTGGGAGGGAGATGCCAAATCGCTGTGCCCCGTCGCCACCCTGACGGTGCTCTGTGCTGTGTAGGTGGCTCAGAGGATTGCCCAGCTGCAGGAGGCCCTGTTGCGCTGTGGGAAGTTTCAGGACGCCTTGGAGCCCTTACTGAGCTGGCTGGCAGACACGGAGGAGCTCATCTCCAACCAGAAACCTCCCTCCGCTGAGTACAAGGTGGTGAAAGCCCAGATCCAGGAGCAGAAGGTAAGCAAGCATGGGACAACTGGCTGGGTACCTTGGAGCAGGGGCTCTGGATAGCCAGGCAGTAATTTGGCCCAGCGGTAACAGATGAGGCGTAGCTGGGATGTCCGCAAGCCTCTTCCTTTCACAGTGGCTGTCCTACAGGTTCCCCATATGCTAGCGCTGCAAACAGCCAGCTGCTTTGCCCAAACCAACCATCTCCACAGCATTATTGTCACGCTGCCTCTTGAAGTTTGCTGCTGGTTTTGCTAGTTGCCTGTGTTTTCCCAGTCCTAGACTTGGTTCTGTTTGTGCTGATAATTCTGTTATGTCAGGAGCAAGCTGGTGTTAGTTACCAGTTTGGGTATTTGGACAAAATGAGTATACAAACTGTAAGAACTGACCCAGCACACACTGGTGTTTATAGATATAACAAACCTGGGTCAGAGCCTGCTCTTACGAACATGCAGATGAAAGTTCAAGTATCGCCACAGTAAAACATTTTTAAAATGAATCTTTAAAAAGGCTTGCTCTGACATATTGAGACTTTGAAGAGGAAATTTAAAGTGAAAGACCAATTTGATCTTGATAGATTTTGAGGGGGTGATGGGGAAGCCTCTTAAAGCTTCTCTGGAACCAGAAGTGCTCTGAATCTCTTTTGAGCTGGTTTCGATGGTGGAGGAGGAAGATGGTGTGGGTATCCCACTCGATCAACTCATCTCGGTGCTTATCGATGCTTTTCAGACGCACTTAAAGTTTGGTATCTTTGAGGGAAGGAAGTAGTTCTGCTGACTCAGTTCGATAACTGTTATCCTCCTTTGTTCTCCTGCTGCTATTAAAGCTGCTCCAGCGACTTCTGGATGATCGCAAAGCCACAGTGGAGATGATTCAAGCCGAGGGTGGGAGGATAGCACAGTCAGCCGAGCCGGCAGACAGGGAGAAGATCGTCTGCCAGCTGGAGAGCCTCGAAAATAGATGGGCAGGACTGCTCAGCAGGGCGGCTGGCAGGTAAGAGCTGGGCAAAGAGACCTCGTTGCCCCTCAGCTCTAACGGAGGAGAGGTTTCCCTGTGCCTGGTCGGTGCTGGCCGCAGTTTTACCCCTTGCACTGTTTGCATCCTGGCTGATCTCTCAGAAACCCCACTGCTTTTTCCTGAAATCTGGGCTGATAGATTTTCCTGAACTCTGGGCTGAACGTTTGAGGTCAGAGCGTGGATGCATGCTGCCGTTGCCGAGACGTGCCCAGCTCTGCCGTGGTTCCTCTGCGTTCCCGGCGGGATCCCTTGTGGGCAGGTTGGATGGCCCAAACGGGCAACCATGAGCTGTGCAGTCCTCAGAGGGTCTGCTCCATTGCCATGGTGGACAAAACCAACTGTGGGGAGAGCTTATCCGGTAATTTGTGGCGCCTCAAAGTTTTACAGAGCTTGATGATTTGTGTCTATGAGAGGAAAGTGAGTTTGTGACAAAAATGTTGCTGTTATTGTTCTAGTGTTTGTTTTGCGTGCTGGCTAGGCTGGAGCCTGGCTCGCTGGAGCTGTAGTGTTTGTTGCTCGCATGCGCTGGTCAGCCAAACAAGAGCTTGTTGAGATAGTTCCTGCCAGCGTCAGCCGTTTGGTTTGCTGCAGGTGTTAACTCACTGGTCAGTCCTGCTGGCTGCTCTGTGATCGTGGGATAACAACACGTGGAAAGCGTGCGGAGATTTCTTTGCAGATACATCCTGGAAACAACAGCTGGAAAACATGAGAAATCAAAGCCTGCTTTGGGAGGTGAAGCAGATAGCAGTGGTTTACAATGCTAGGGAAGAGCTCAAATTAAACAAATTCCCTTCAGGGGGTGGATGTTATTTTTATTCCTTTAAGCTTTTAACATTTAGCTTTAGTGGGAACATCCTGTTGACACCTTTCTGCTGCCTGAATCTCATTTGCAAGTCGCTTGTTGCTACATAAGCTAAAGCGTTGGGTTAGGAGTTACTTGTGAGGGCCAGGTTTGACTTCTCAATGCTTTGAATGGTTGTAGAGGAGATGGGCTGTCCATCTAGCCCGTGCACCGGGGCCCAGGTGTCTTTGAGCAGAAGCTCAGCAGCTCTGAAACACCGAGGGCCCCACCACCAGCTGACTGTGTTGGAGGATCTCTAAGAGAATGATGTTAACGAAAGAAAAGCAGCACAAAGGGAGCCTTTCTGCTGCCTTCACTGGGAGCCGAACTGGACCCTAAAGGAACAGCTGCAGAAAAAAGCTTATGCTGCAGTTTCTCCATGCTGCTTTTTGTGTTTGGATCTGCAGCTTGCCTGACAAGGTGTCTCACCTTGCACTGAACAGAGGCGCTTCTGTTCCCTCTTTCTATTGCTTTGGTTTCTACGGTATTTCCGCTCTGGCTTCTGGTTCTGTCAAAGCCCACAAGCCACTTTCTTGTGCCAAGCCGTACTGGCAGTGGGGTGGTGTTTCAGCTTAAGCTGCTTCCCTTTCCAGGCTCCAAAAGGGGAGCTGTTCCTTAGCTGTTTTCTTATGCTCCCAATTTAGGCAGAAACAGCTGGAAGACATCTTGGTTCTGGCTAAGCAATTCCACGAAACCACGGAGCCTATTTCAGACTGGCTGTCAGTGACGGAGAAGAAGCTGGCCAATTCCGAGCCCATTGGCACCCAGACTGCCAAAATCCAGCAGCAGATCAGTCGCCACAAGGTAGGGCCCCGCGCGCGAACCGAGAGCTGCTGATGGAGGTGGTCGGTGTCAGGTCTCTCCTAGATGGATGTTTCTGCCATGGTGAGGTGGTTTTTGGCATGAGCAAGTTTAACTTCCCTGATCACCACCAAGACAGATATCTAGGCTGCGTTAAAGAAGGAAAAGGCTGCAAACTCTAACCCACTCTTTGCTCTTAGCAATGATACAAGGTATTTAACTGATGTCCTTGCACCTCGCAACAAATGTATGTGGTTCTGGATAGAAAAGCCATTCCTGTTTTTGTTTGTTGTAAACCTTTTTGTAATACATTTTGCCCATTCACGGGTGGGTTTCATCTCCTTTCTCCAGTTCAGTTGCATTCATTGTTTCTGTTTTCCCCTTATTATTTTTCCATCTCATTTTTTTTCCACTCATTTTTGTTTCTGTTGTCCATTTTGTCCTCCTGGCTTTCAGGCTCTAGAGGAAGAGATAGAGAGCCACGCGGCTGAGGTGAATCAGGCGGTCAGTGTCGGGCAGTGCCTCTCCTCCCTGAGCTGCGCTGCGGAGCAGAGGCTGCTGGCAGAGAAGCTAGACTCTCTGCAGGGCCGCTACGGCGAGATCCGCGACCGGTGCTGCCGCAAGGCAGCGCTGCTCGAGCAAGCGCTGTCTAATGCTAGGCTCTTTGGGGAGGAGGAGGTGGAAGTGCTCAACTGGCTGGCTGAGGTCGAGGACAAGCTCGGCTCGGTATCCGTAAAGGATTACAAACGGGACGTCCTGCAGAAGCAGCATGCTGACCAGCTGGTATTTTCCGTTTTCTTCCATATTTATGTTGTTGATTTTGTTGCATTTATCTGTTTTATGTTTCTGGTGTGTTGTTAATTTTAACCGGCAGTGGAACAAGCTTTGCCTTTCCGAGGCTTGGAGAGGTATAAAGAGATTTCATGTGTTAAAAACAGTAACTGCAGCCCCAGAATGGGTTTCCCGGGGGGAGCGGAAACTTTAAGAGACTCATTTGCTTTGTGAGCAGTGTCTGAGCGTGCTTGGCCACCGTTTGTCTTTAGAAGGCTGGATGCTGTTTCCAAGAATGTGAATTTGAAGAGCCCGGTGGGGTTTTCTGAGCTAGGCTGGCCACCGAAGAAGCAGTCTGTTTCTCTTCTGTTAGGGCCATGTAAACCTTGTTAAGAGCGTGGTTATATGTAATACAAGACTAAATTTTTCAGCGTTACATGAAGATTTGGGATGGTTTTGCTCTACGTTTTGCACCTTTGGGTGCCGTACGTCCCATAGCAGGAGAAGGCTGGATGGACTCGTATCTGATCTGTTGTCCACCTTCCTATGTTAGATAAAGAGCAATTAATGCTCTCCTTAACATCGGCCTCTGTCCTGCACTGAGCAGCCTGCAGGACTCAGGGACCTGCTTGCAGAAGGATAACTGCAGTTTGTTCTTTCTGTCCAGGCTCTGAACGAGGAAATTGTGAACAGAAAGAAGAACGTGGACCAAGCCATTAGAAATGGGCAAGCTCTTCTAAAGCAAACCACAGGTAACAAGAAGAGCCAAACGCATTCTGGCAGATGTCCAGGCTCTCCCATGCTCTGGCAAACGCGCTGGCCTTTGTGCAGTGCTTTGTGTTAGCCGGGAAGTCTGTGGTCTGCAATGACAAGTTGTTCAGAGGAGGCTGTTCTCCTTTTCTCCTGATCTCATTTTCTTTTGGACCTTCTCAAAGTAGCTGCTCTGCATCCAGATCTGCTTGCTGAGCTGCGCGCGCTCCTTCTGCTTGGTAAATCCTGACTCTCAACCCCCAGCTTTCCGAGCTGGGATTCCCACCATCTACGTGAAGCGCTTGGTGATATTCAGCACTGAGCAGCCCTGTAACGAGGTGTAGGATCTTCTCTTTGAGTCCAGCTGCTAAATCACATGGAAAGAAGTTAAAAATATGCCAAGCCCTTTCCTAATATCGCTTTCCCATGCTAAGCAGTTGTCGCCGTTGCCACGTGGGTGTGAGTTTATGTTTATGAGTGGGAAGGAAGGTCGGGGCAATGCGTTCCCTTCAGATGCGGTCTGCCCTGAGCAGATGTACAGACCTCTGTCCTTGTGGGAGCCACATAGCAGGAAGAATAATTGCAAACAAATTGGCTTGCGATTTCTTGTCCTTTCAGAAATAGGAGCAGAGAGTGAATTGGACCTTTTCTTGGAGCTGTGACATATTAGTTAAGAACTGAGTTCTGGTGGCTTTAGGGCTTATTGCAAAGCAAGGTTTCACAGCTTGCTTCCTTTCTATTATAAGAAGGAGGTGGAAATTACACTAGCTGGTAGGAAAATGTCAGCTCTAAGAGTAGCTTCATGGCTGTAAAAATAGGTTTGTTAGTCGCATTGAGCAGATGAAAAGTGAGACTGAAAGTAGCTATTTAAAATGGGAACACAGGGCAAGTGGTTGCTTAAAACCCACCGCAAACCCTTTAGATGGGCATTTACCCTGTGTCCCTGTCTTACAGGGGAAGAAGTGTTGCTAATCCAGGAGAAGCTGGATGGGATTAAGACCCGCTATTCAGACATCACAGCTACCAGCTCCAAGGCGCTCCGGACACTAGAGCAGGCTCGGCAGCTGGCCACCAAGTTTCAGTCGACACACGAGGAGCTGAACAGCTGGATGAGCCAAGTGGAGGAAGAGCTCATGTCCAGCGGAGGACAGTCACCTGCTGGCGAGCAGATACCCCAATTTCAGCAGAGACAAAAGGTGAGACCTGTTGGAAAGCAATGCCCAAGCGTCAGGGGTGTCGAAGTTGTGTGGGAAGAGAGTCGCGGGGGGTGGTTTGCTCCCTGCGCTGAGACGACGGGAAAGAACTAGAGAGGGGAGGAGAAGGAGCGTGAGATACGTAGTCTTGGAGCATGTATCACGGGGACTGGGAAATGGGGAGCCGACCGCTCCCGGGCTGCGCCGAGCAGCTGGCTGCTGCATGCTTTGTGAAGCTGTCCTCCGCCTTTGTCTCCTCGGCTGTTTACACGTCTCCTAGCAAACAGCCTAGCCATTGGGGCCGTGCGGCAAATAACTTGGTTGGAGATTTCGTGCCAACACAGAGCATGAGAAGAGCAAGGACACAAAACGGCTGGAAAGCCCGCTGCCGGCCTGCCCGTTTCTCCCAGTAGCTAGGTGTCACCTGTGCAGTGCTGTGAGCGATCTGTGTGTGTGTCCCGCAGGAGCTGAAGAAGGAGGTCATGGAGCACAGGCTTGTCCTGGACACCGTGAACGAGGTGAGCCGAGCACTCCTGGAGCTGGTTCCCTGGCGAGCCCGCGAAGGGCTGGATAAACTTGTGTCGGACACCAACGAGCGCTACAAGCTGGTCAGCGACACCATCAAGCAGAGGGTGGAAGAAATAGATGCTGCTATTCAGAGGTCTCAACAGGTAATTTAATAAGCTCAGCCGCCTCTTTTTGCAGCAGCCTGCAGAAGGGTTTCTCAGAAGAGACGCAGCGAGTGACTCACCCGGCCTCGGTCCGAGCAGCGTGACTGTAGTGGGAGGAATGAAAAGCGGTGCCTGACGGGAATGCCAGAGCTCGTCCCTGGCACCCAGAGATGAATGGGCCCGCAAATAGTGCGTGATAGGATTGCTGAGAGCGCTGCGCTAGTTTCTGACCGATGCAGTTGCATGCAATTTGGAAAAGATAATTCAGAGTCTCTTGGGGCAGCGCTGGGTTTTCCCCATCTGCTGGCTTGTGCTTGCGTTAGTAACGTAGCTTGTGTAAAACCGATGACAGGTGACTTTCAGGCCTGGAAACGTAAACTTCTGTTCTGATAGCACAAGGATTTGTTCCAGGGTAGCAGGCCTCTCAAAAAGACTTATTCCTTATGGATTGGAGTTTGCAGATTGCCATGAATAACTACCCTTGTTAGCTTTGAACGCCAACTCAGAGAGCTGAGTGTGCAAGCAAAATTAGCATGTAAAATAGTGGCATCCCTTCCTCTACGGACAGAGAGGGCGTAGAGAAAGGCAGTTGCTTCGCTGTGCTCTGCTCTGCTAAACGCCTGTGTTGCAGTGCTGCTCCGCGCTTTAAAACCAGCTGCAGGAGCAGCCTCCTATGGGGTGGCCAACTGCCCGGCTCTTCTCGACGTGTGGGGACTTTCAGCCACGCGCCGGTGGCCTGCACTGGCAAACTCGTCTAAGGCTGGGGCTGTCTCTGAGTATTCAGATGTTGAACGGCTCTGCTGTTGGCCTTTCGAGTGCAGGGTCAGGGTATATAGGGCTTCCATTTATCTTGCAGAAAAGTCCTGTTGCTTTAAGTGTTTGTGACGAGAACATAAAGGTAATTTGTCACTTGTTTCCCTGTCAGAGAGAGCGAGGTCTCTGCCTTGGTCTGCACAGAGCTGGAGCAGAGCAGCTCATGGGCCGCGTGGCCGTCGCTGTGCCGGGGTCACCGTTACTGCCTGCGTTAAACAAAAAAGGGCAGCTGTTCCCAGCTGGGGGAAAAAGGATAAACCAAGAAACCTTCAGGTTGAATAAAAGAAAAATCTGGGCAGTTTGTCCTCAGATGCAGTGCAGGGAGTGAGATGCGGTGGCAGGCGTCAGCACCAGCGTCCTGTCCCACCAGCACCCTCCCACGCGCCCGGGCCCAGCGCTTGCCGCCGGTGTCCCACTGGCTCCCCCCGCCCTCAGGTCCTTGCTGAGGGCCGGGCCAGACCCTGCTGAGTCTCGTTGCCACTTCTGCCCGTTCCCCCCAGCACACAGGCAGCCTGGTGCCCTGTTTGCCACGTGCGTGTCCGCTGCGTCCGTGCTGCCTCTCGCTAACCTGTTGCGCTCCATCTCCTCTCCCTGTCCGCCAGTACGAGCAGGCTGCCGATGCAGAGCTAGCCTGGGTTGCCGAGACCAAACGGAAGTTGATGGCTCTAGGCCCGATTCGTCTGGAGCAAGACCAGACGACAGCTCAGTTGCAGGTGCAGAAGGTACGTGCAGCATGTGTGCAGCTCCCACCCCGGCTGCGTGCCGGGCCGCGAGCTCTGGGAAGCAGCAGCATCGCTCCTCCGGGCCGGGGGCAAATGAAGTGAAACGCCTAGTTCAGGTGCAACAGCAGAGGGAGATGATGATTCACCAGCAGGAGCAGAGCAAATCATGACCGTGCAAGAGAGGAAACACTGGAAATAGCTCAGTGCTTTAATTAAACTGGGGGGAAGAGCTGAACAAGTGCAGATGTGCATGTTCAAGGCAGTTCACGGACAAGGACGAGAGTGGGATGGGGGAATGGCTGGGGTCTGGCAGGTGCAGCTCAGCGCAGCTTGGTGTAGCTGAGCCCGGAGTACGGTGAGAGATGCAACTCTTGGCCTTGGTAATAAGGAAAAGGAAAAATGGAGGGAGAGGGAGAGGGAGGACTTAGGCAAATGAAGTGTTGGGCCTCTAACAGAAAAAGCCTTCAGATTTTCAGGTTGCCAGATGAACTGTGCACGAGTTAGAAATATTGACTGAGCTGAATGTGCACAGCCTTTGGATGAATTCCGGCCGCGCCGTGGGCCCCTCGAAGCTGTCCCTAGCGCATAGTTGTTTAGGGCTGGATCATTGCTCTTGCCTGGACTCCTCTTGAGACATATGCCCCTTGTTAAGGCTTTCCCTGTGACCATTTTAGCAGCTCTACCTGAGCCTTGCAGGAGCTGGCAGCAGGAAGAGTTTAGCGAAACAAATGTATTGATTAATGAAGGTACTTTTACATTTGTTTTTTTATTCATTGTTCCCTCCAGTGGGAGACTCTTGTTTCCCTCATGGCAGCCAGACTTGGAACAAAGAGAAGCTGGATTTTAACATCTCTGAGATGAGATCATGCCTGAAAGAACGTGCCCTTTAAATAAACAGCTCTTTTCTCCCTTTACCAGACTTGGCAATCAGAGCAACATACATGCTTATTGGATTTTGTGCATTTAAAAAAAAAAAATCATTGTTATAATGGAGAGGGACTGAACCGTCGAACATTAAGTTAAATTGAGCTCAACTTGACTTCCTGCTGCTTATGGATACTGTTAATCACGGGGCCTTTGGGGGCGGCAAAGTTATTGGTAGATGTGGTTCTGGAGAGCACGGTCTCAGGGGTTTAAAATATTCACCAAACTGATCTCCTACAAATAGGTCTTGGAGCTGTTCCTTTGCAGGAGAGGAAGCTGAGGCAGGAAGACCTGCGGGAGGGACTTGCACAGCAAACCTTGGCTTTATATTGTACAGTGAGGCACAACAGTCTATTTTTTGTTAGATTTACTGCTGCTTGGCATTTCTGTGGAGGAGGCCGCATGCAAGATACTCAAGGTTTCAGATGGACAGGAGGAATGACCTGGGTGGGGGAAGTTGTTCTGAGCCTGACTTGATTTCTGATTTCAAGTGCCTTTTTTGGGCCTTTGAAAGAGAGAGGTTAAAATACATGAGTAATGAGGCCAAAAACTCAGTAATCTGCTATGGCAGCCAGATTTTCAGTGTGCCATGGGACACTTGGGCTGAGCTGTACGTGATCTCTGTTGTGCTGAGTTTTGGCAGGATTCCTGAGGTCTGCTCCCCGTGGCGACAGGGAGAAGGCAGGAGGAGGGCGCATTCGAAGGGCCGGAGAGGGAAAGGTTGTCGTTTTTTCTGACTTCTTTCCTTTCTTTGGACATTTCCTTTCTCCAGGCTTTTTCCATTGACATTATTCGGCACAAAGACTCGATGGATGAACTGTTCAGCCAGCGCAATGAGATCTTTGGGACATGTGGGGAAGAGCAGAAAGCTGTTCTCCAGGTAAGACATACTCTGCTCTCCAGGGGAACCAAGGAGAGCGGAGGGAAGAAGGGCGGATGCTCAGCTCTTGCTCTGTCTAAAGGAGTTTAAAATTACTCCATCTTTAGTACTAAATTCCCACCAGTGACACTTAGCAGAAATCTCTTTACATTTATTACTCTCTTTTATGGCAGTATTTTTATTGCAATGTTTATGGAGGGGAGGGACAGTGGCGATTTCTTAAGCTACTTTAATTGGAATTACAGCTAATGCACATGGAGCACCACCAAATGCATCTTCTGCTTTTCCAGCTCACAGCAGGTAGCTGGCACTTTTACCGTGCCCTTTTGCGTCCGTCACTAAGTCTCCTCCTGTTCCTTTTAGGAGAAAACGGAGTCCCTGGTGCAGCAATACGAAGCCGTTAGCCAGCTCAACTCGGAGCGCTACGCTCGCTTAGAGCGTGCTCAGGTCTTGGTGAACCAGTTCTGGGAGACCTACGAAGAGCTGAATCCTTGGATTGAAGAGACGCAAGCCCTGATTTCACAGTTGCCCCCTCCAGCGATCGATCCCGAGCAGCTCAAGCAGCAGCAGGAGGACATGAGGGTAAGGAGATAGCTGAGTCTGCAGCTCCTACGCCGGCTATCAGGGAATCAGCTGTGGAGGCACAGCACTTGCAAGGTCACGTGTGCCTTGTGCATAGGTCTTTTTTCTGATGAATTTTTCCGATTTTCCCGGTCTCTTGTTTTTGGCAATCCTACTTACATAATACAGTGGTGTCTCGAGCATGTCACTAGAAGAAAATCACTAGAAGGGTTGGAAGGCTTCACAGTAAAATACAGGATAAACCCGAGGGGGCCCGACTGTCTTTGGAACTTTTGCCTGATTGTGGCAGGGGAAAATGCATTGGGCTTTTAGGGTAGAGAGATGCCAAGTAATTTTTCCTCAGGATGATCCCCCTGGGCTTTGGGGCAGGTGGGGAATATTGCTGCCTGGGGAAGGCCCCCTGCACAGGGCGAAGTGACGGTAACGCGCAGCGCTGGCCGCCTTAGGAAGCACTGAGTACCGTGTGCTTGATGCATGCTGGGTCATGGTGTGAGTTTTCACTATCAGGTGAAATAATTGCTCTTTGAGTGCGAAATAAATAGGCAGTGGCCTTCAATAGATTTCTAAACAGTTGTCTTTTCTTTTCCCCCCCTGCCCATCCTCTAGCAACTGAGAGAGTCTATCGCTGAGCATAAGCCTCATATTGACAAACTGCTGAAAATCGGACCGCAGCTCAGGGACCTCAACCCTGAGGAAGGGGAGATGGTGCAGAAAAAATATGCAACTGCGGAAGCCATGTATGCCAAAATCAAAGAGGAGGTGTGCCAGCGGGCCCTCGCCCTCGACGAAGCCGTCTCGCAATCCACTCAGGTATGCGTCGCGGGTGCAAAGGAGTCACGGCACGCTAAGTGTTTATTGCAGCCCCCCAGGGAAATCCACGTGCTTTCAAGTGCCGTTCTATACTGAGGCTTACGATTTTAAAACCCGTTTTAAGGCCCAATGCAGTCGAGCACCTTCCAGGGAGCTGTCAGCCGACTGCAAGGCAGAGCTCCCCGCCACTCGGCACTGGCTTCAGGAGGGAAGAAGCAATTGCATCTTGATGTACTAAATAGAGTAATAAATTTTTACAACCTCAATAACGATGCTCATTCAAAGGGGCTGTTTTGGCATCCACCCAAGTTGGAAGGGCCCGGAGAGCCTCTTTGAAGAGCCTGGAGAGATAAGTTTCATTTCTGATAAGTAAAGCACTACTGGATAGGCAGTGTAGCGCAGCATCATTTTTGTTGGAGAGTTAACTGTCGTCTCCGGGGCCCAGGCATCTGTAGAGGACACCTGCAAAAGCTGGGATTGCAGGGAGAGAGAGATGAAAAGATGGGTAGAGATTGTAGATCTTAAAGTTCAGAAAGGGGGTAAAGAGTTTGTCACGCGTGCTCAGGATGTGTAATTTATAGTAATGTTTCATTTCACCCGGTGTTACCGTAGCACAGTTGTTTTTTGTCACGTCTGGGTGTTTGTTTTGTTTTATTTTATTTTATTTTTTATTTATTCCTGTATTGTTTAGTCACTTCTCTGGGTTTGCACTTGTATTAACTCCGAGTTTTTCCCCCCCACACACCCCTCCCGTCTCATCTCTCACTCACATTGTGGGATGTGTTATCTTTGTGTGTCGCTGCCTGTTCCCGTCTTCCCCACATGGTCCCATTTCATTGTTGTGTTGACTGCGCCCCACCATTGCAGATCACGGAGGTAAGCCTCGCCACGATCGACGTTCATTTACGCTCTCTCTTTGGCTGAAACAATTCTGTTTTATACCCGGATTTTTATTTTTGGTCCGTGCACAGCTCAGCGGAACGGGCTTAAAGAATTAACTCTGAGGCCCTGAAATCACGGCTCTGAGCTGGCTCGCGTCGCGTCGCCGTGCGTGGTTTCAGCCGTGGCCAGCTTCCGCTGCGAGCGCTTAGTGCAAAGCCGAGGTTTTGCCGTTAAAGGGGTTTACACTGATGCACAGAGTTTTCTGCTCTAGCCGAACTTGCCGGTTTGCTTCTGCGTGTTGGTGAAGCCAGCGTGCCCATGATCAACTTTGCATCGGGAGCCTATTTCACCTCTGCTGTCAGTATGGGACATGGGGATAGGAGGCGCTGGTGTCCCGCAGAGAAGGGCCCCAGGAGCACGTGGGCTGCAGCCGCAGTAGGATGCTGTCCTCGTCCTCAGCAGCAGAGATGATCTCGGGTCTTGAAGGCCAAAGTTGACTTTTCTAAAACACCCTGCCAGACCCCTTTCCTTTATCACTCTTGGCTTTCTGATTCTGCTTTTGTCGAAGCCCCAGCTCTGCGGCAGCTCACTCTACACGCATGCGGCCTCCCACCATCTCGCAGTAACTGCGTCAAGGTGGTTCCCTCACTGGCATTGCACTGAGCGGAGATTTCCTTCGGCACCAAACACAGGCACTTTTCCAGCAGCATCTTTGCGTGGATGCTAAAAGAAAAAAAGGGATTCAGTTTTCCTGTCGTGCTGCCCTTTTGCAAGAAGTGGGACAGCAGTCAAAATACGAGTTTTATAGGGTTGAATATCATGACACGTCGCTGCCATGTTTGGTTCACAGTCGCCCGTGCTGGCTCTGCGAGCACGTCTGGCTGACGCACTGTTTGACTCCTCGGAGCTGGTGCAGCCTGAGGCTGTAAGCAGCAAATAAAAGCAGGGGCAGGCATGAACAGGAGGCTGCAGGTGTAACTGCTGTTGCAGGCAATGCTTGTCCTCTCTAAAGAGGCCACAGGGTGCAGCACTGAGGGGCTGTTGCACACGCTGGGAGCGATGCAGTGCTGTCTAATCTCCTCTTGCTCACCCTAATGGACTTGTTCCTCCCCAGTTCCATGATAAGATCGAGCCGATGCTGGAGACGTTGGAGACCCTTTCCTCCCGGCTACACATGCCACCGCTGATCCCCGCAGAGGTCGATAAGATCCGGGAGTGCATCAGTGAGAACAAAAATGCCACCGTGGAGCTGGAGAAGCTGCAGCCCTCCTTCGAGGCTCTGAAACGCCGTGGCGAAGAGCTGATCGGGAGATCGCAGGGAGCAGACAAGGACCTGGCGGCAAAAGGTATCTCAGGGTGGATTCAACAGGAGACGTTTGCTGTTGGCATTGCCTCTGCTTCTCTATATCCTACCCAAATCGTGGCTCCAGCGCCATGCGGATGTCCCAGGGCTGTATTTCAAGGGTCTCCTGGCCCTGGAGAGGTTGGGTTCTCTGTGAGCAAGAGCCAGGTACCTGCATCCATCTGGAGCAGGCAGGGTGGTGTCAACCAGAGGAGCAAGAAAGGTTTGTGACTGCTCAGGCTAAGGTTTAAACCAGCCTAGTTCAGCTGTGAGCTGTTCTCTCGTGGCAACTGCTGGTGGCCCCTTTGAAATGGTTTGTTGGTGTTGATTCAACCCCTAATGGGGGTTGGGAAGGAGCACCCCCAGCACAAAAAGACATGTCAGCCCAAGTGATGCTAATTGGCACCTTCGTAGGCAGCTCGTGAACTGATCAAGTGTAGACTTCACGCTAGAGGTAGCCAGAACAGAGAGGTTCACTGGAGGAGACTGCGTGGGCAAATTTGTCCTGAACTTGCCTGCACATAAATAATAGCTTTATTTCTGCAAGTTGGAGTTTCTCCAGTCCCTCAGTATCTCTCTCAGTTAATGCTCTGATAGTCCTGGTCATCTTTGATTCTTATTAGAATATTCTACTGGCTGTTTCTAAGTGGAAAGTGTTTGCAAAATGCTTTGAGTTGTAAAACAGTTTCCTAGTGGCCAAATAGGACAGGCTCCTTCGTCACTGATTGTTTTCATTCCCTTCCTCAGTAATCCAGGATAAGTTGGATCAGATGGTCTTCTTCTGGGAAGACATCAAAGCTCGGGCTGAGGAACGTGAAATGAAGTTCCTTGACGTCCTGGAGCTTGCAGAGAAGTTCTGGTACGACATGGCAGCCCTCCTGACTACCATCAAAGACACACAGGACATTGTGCACGACCTGGAGAGCCCAGGCATTGATCCATCCATCATCAAGCAGCAGGTGGAAGCGGCAGAGGTGAGGACTATGGGGCTGTATCTCAGTCTGGAGCCTGTTTGCACCCAGCTTGTAAGGCAGACTGGTGTAGATCTTGAATATGGGCACGGCCAAACATGGCTGTAAAACAGTTTTGTAGGCAGTTAGTCTGATTACGAAACATTATTTACATTGTAATTTGGAACTGCAGGGGGGAAAAAAAAAAAACAGAAGTGTATTTTACATATTCTCCCCCCCACCTCCAGCTGCTCGTGCTCCAGACAAGGAAATGATGCTTAAATCACTTTACCTGCTACTGTTTTGGGAAATTATTGTCAAAGCATGTGGTCAGCGTTGTGTGCCCACTTGTTGGAGTGATGTGGAAGTTTGCATGGTTCTGCTCCCCATCTCCGTAGAAGGCATTTGAGTGCTATGTCGTGTGGGAAGTGTATATCTGAATTTTGGTTAGAGTGGAGATAACTAAAGCTGGACGGACTTGGATATGTGTGTTGTTGTTGGTTGTTTCAAATCTCGTGGTGAAATCCGCTTTGAGTGTTTGAATATCGACTTGACTTAGACCTTGGAGAGCAGGGATGTTACTTTATGCCTTGCTCTTTGCTAAGTTTGTTCTTGCCGTTTTTATTTTCATTTTATAACCATTCTGACTTCAATGTACCACCATTAAGTCTTGAAAAGCGGTTGCTGCATTGACAAAATACTCCTGAAAACAGCATAATCTGCAGTGAGGCCAGTTCAGGCACATGTCAAGTTAAATACAGATTTTTTTATTTTAGTTCCCCCAAACCCTGCAAATAGCAAGCAGCATTGCCACTGTGACCGAAGGTGGAGGCAGAACAGGCTGGCCGTGGCAATGCTGGTGAGCAAGAAAACCATCTACATCTTTGTAGTGTAGTGGTAGTGGTCTGGCTTTGGGCTGGAGGTTACCAGAGTTTGTTCAGCCAGAAGGCAGGACGCCGCAGAGCAAGAAGGACTCGCCGTGCTTTAGCCCTCCTATACTTATGCACCAGGGGACTTTTTGGAAGAGCATTTAATAATAAACATTTTTGTTTTGTCGCTGTGTTATCTGCAGACTATTAAAGAGGAAACGGATGGCTTGCATGAAGAGCTGGAGTTCATTCGACTCCTTGGAACTGATTTAATTTTTGCCTGTGGCGAAACTGAGAAACCAGAAGTGAAAAAGAGCATTGATGAGGTAGGAGAAACAGCAGCCTCTCCTTCAGATAAAATCAGGTAAGTGCAAGTGGGAGCTCAAGTGGAAGAGCCTAACAAATTTTGTGGTCAATCTTGTGTTCTGCAGATGAACAACGCGTGGGAAAATCTAAACAAGACTTGGAAGGAGAGGCTTGAAAAGCTCGAAGAAGCCATGCAATCGGCTGTGCAATATCAGGACACGCTTCAAGTAAGAGGCAGTGCTAGGCTGTTTGTATTGTGGGTGAACCTTAGGAGCATCACTGGGAATCCTCTACTCCCAGTTGTGCCGGGCACTGCACAAATGCAGAGTGGGAAGAGGTCTCCTGTGTGAGTGTTTCCAGCCTCTGTTAGAGGCCAAGCTCTACAACCAGGTCCAAGGAATAGAGCAAATATTTGAGACTCTATTGGTCCTCCCAAATCCATCCTCATTTCTGCACAAAATGGCAAGATGAGCCTGACTGTAGTCAGCTCCCTACGTTGGAAGTAGGAGAGAGGAGGCAAAAGAGCTTGCAAAAGCATGTGCTGGCCAAGCAGGCTTCTCTGTCCAAAAGCAAAGTTGTGTGGTTGCAGGATGACAGATGCACCTGCCCTGTTTCCCCGACCGGCTGTTTGCATTTTCCTGGGTTAAATGCATGCACTCATTTCAGGCAATGTTTGACTGGCTGGACAACGCTGTGATTAAACTCTGCAACATGTCGCCTGTCGGCACTGACCTCAACACAGTTAAAGAGCAAATGAACGAGATGAAGGTATGCCACTGGAATCAGACTCATTCTCTAACGCTTACTTTGCGTTGTAAAACTCACGCTCAAATGATTCATTATATTCTGGTTTTTGTCCGGCTTGTTTTGGCAGGAGTTTAAAATGGAGGTTTACCAGCAGCAGATCGAGATGGAAAAGCTTAATCATCAAGGTGAATTGATGCTAAAAAAAGCTACAGATGAGACAGACAGGGACATCATAAAAGAGCCACTGACAGAGCTGAAACATCTCTGGGAGAATTTAGGCGAGAAAATTGCTCACAGACAGGTACGGAGAAGATCTGGGCTCTTGGAAATGCAGAGTTGAAATTCACTTGGATGCTCCCACTCCTTCCTGACTTAAACTTTCCTTTTCCTTCCCTGTCATTGAACAGCATAAGCTAGAAGCTGCTCTTTTAGCACTTGGCCAGTTCCAACACGCATTAGCAGAGCTGATGGCCTGGCTAACCCATACTGAGGAGTTGCTAGATGCACAGAAACCAATCAGTGGAGATCCAAAAGTGATCGAGGTTGAGCTCGCAAAGCACCACGTGAGTACTCCCACTCAGGACAGGTTTTAATCCATTCCTGATGCAGGATTTTATTTTCCCTGAAGGGCTTGAGTTGATTCGAACCCGTGAGAGCGTGCTGGAGTTAGCAGGCCCTTTCAGAGACGCATCGAACGTTTACCCACCATGTCTCACGTAGGTGTTGAAGAACGATGTCTTGGCCCACCAAGCAACCGTGGAGACGGTGAACAAAGCAGGCAACGAACTCCTGGAGTCGAGCGCGGGAGATGACGCAAGCAGCCTGCGAAGCCGCCTGGAGAAATTGAACTCGTGCTGGGAGTCAGTGCTGCAGAAGACAGAGGAGAGGGAGCAGCAGCTGCAGTCGACGCTCCAGCAGGTCAGGGACGCTCCCCGGCGGGATTTGCCTGGGCAGAGGAGCACCGCTGAGGGCCTGCTCCCACTTAATGTGTCTTCCCAAAGTGAAAGTAACAGAAGTTAGAGACTTTGGGCTTTTTTTGGTGCTAGTTTTTCATTTTTGTCTGGGAATGACTCTCTGCCTTCTTGGAAAGGCAGCAAAGACCATGCACTTCTGCCGCAGAGTATGAACTCTGCAAGGTCAGAGCTGACCTCCCATCTTCTGCCACGTGACACAATTATGGAGTGCTTTATTTTTGCTGTTTTTACCTCAAAATAGTCCACGTGTGTTTGTTATCCTGAAGTGGAAGATTATACCTTTTTAACATGAAGATGAGGCTTGACGATGGAAGGACAAAGGCTTTTTAGAGAGTGGCTTTTTACCTTTTCGAGCCAGGGATGCATTGACTTCAAAGTGAGATTTAAGAGCCAGCAATTTTTTGTTTGCAAAACCAACGGTGTTACGTTTGTTTGCCAGAGTTGCTGTGTGGTTAAGGAGGTACCATGTATATCCCTTCTTAATGTGCTGTCAAATTCTGTTCTGCCTCTTTATCTAATGCTGAAGCAAACATAGCGTTAACCCTGGCGCATGATCAATGGTGGCTGATGTCATCTGATCCACGGCCCATTATATGTTCCCCCACAGGCCCAGGGTTTCCATGGTGAGATTGAAGACTTCCTCCTGTGGCTAACGAGGATGGAGAGCCAACTGTCTGCATCGAAACCCACAGGAGGTCTGCCAGAAACTGCCCGGGAACAACTTAATGCCCACATGGTAATTTCTTCGTAAAGATCTGTAACGCTTCTACTTCAACCAGTTTGTCTGTCCTGTCAAATCTCGGCGTCAAAATTTCTCCATTGCGTGCCAGAGTCTGAAGGGGAGGGAGACGAGTGCTTCTCTGGTCTCTTCTTCTTTTCCTTTCTTCCCTGCCTGGGACAGGACTTCACAGCATCACTGGTTTAAGCACCTCTCTCTGTGCAAAGTGACCCACTGCTGTCACTTTGCTGCCTGCTCTGAATTTATTGAGTTCCAGCAAGCCATAGGCCCCTCTCTGAGCTCGAATGTCTTTGGTGCTGCCTTCCTTGCAGGAGCTGTACAGCCAGCTGAAAGCCAAGGAGGACATGTACAGCCAGCTGCTTCTGGCTCGAAGACGGAGCAGAGCGTAGCGCTGCTGGAGCAGAAATGGTGCCTGGTCAGCACCAAGATGGAGGAGAGAAAGGTAGGGTTTGCGGACAGATGCCATCTGCTCTTGCCCCCCACAAGCTGATCAGAGAGTAGATCCTCCCTCTTGCTGCTCTGCTTTCCTAGAGGAGATGTTACTGCAGTAAGTGGAGCCAGGCTTAGCTGGAGATCAGGATTATTTTTTAGGCCACCTCTCCCTTGGTTGCACAGGTTGAATTTGCCTTTCAAATGATGCTGAGAGCCAAGCTCAAGCTGTTATTTTCTTAGGTAGTCATAAGAGTCGGTTAAATCACATAGAAAATGAGAATTGTGTTTGGATTAATTTGGAAGAGAGGCGGGAAGAAACCTCCTGCGGCTCTGAAAGGCACACTTTGTTGGTCCTCTGAGCCAGACAGCCAGCCAACTTCTCCTCTGAACTGACTCCATTCTCGTGTTTTGGCCAGTGATGAGATAAAACAAGGGACGCTGTAGCCTCAGCCCAGAATAAATTTGTGGTGCTGCAGCTGTTGCCATCAAAATATCATCCACCTTCCATTTCCTGAGCAGCTCTTCCCATGGTGATCCGTTTCTCGGGAAGCTGAGGGTGACGCAGCTGCTTGTGTGTTGATAATGGAGTTGTCTCCTCTTTCATACACGATTCTTGCCCATTTGCTTTGAAAGAAGCTGATTCTGAAGCGGGCCGCTTTCACTGAAATCGCCTCCCCTTGGTAAACAAGTCATGTTCCCTGGCCGAACTGATGAGGTTCCCATTAGAGGCTCGTTTCATCAGGGATACAAAGCCTGCCTCTGTCTGTGAAACCGCAGATTGTGAACTTTAGCACTCTGTGTTTCCCTTCTTCCTCTCTCCCTCCCTCCCTCCCTCCCTCCCTGCGTCCGCTGCGGCAGTCGAAGCTGGAGGAAGCGCTCGCTCTGGCCACAGACTTCCAGAATTCCCTCCAGGACTTCATCAACTGGCTCACGCTGGCGGAGCAGAGCCTGAACATCGCGCCCCCGCCCAGCCTCATCCTGAACGCCGTGCTGGCCCAGATCGATGAGCACAAGGTACCTGGGGGCTGTGAGTGCCCGGCCAGCTGTTCCCTAGCAGAGCTGGGGTGTAGGGAGCTCGAGCACCTTCATCCTCCCTCTCTACCTAAGGCACTCTCAGGCCTGTCCAGTCCTTCTCTTTACATACGGGAGTAAATCTTTGCTGTTCTTAGGTGTTTGCCAATGAAGTGAATGCTCATCGGGATCAGATCATTGAGCTGGATCAAACCGGGAACCAGCTGAAGTTTCTCAGTCAAAAGCAGGATGTGGTTCTGATAAAGAACCTGCTGGTGAGCGTCCAGTCGCGCTGGGAGAAGGTTGTGCAGCGCTCTGTTGAGAGGGGCCGAGCTCTTGATGATGCCAGGAAGCGAGCCAAGCAGGTGAGAAATGTGGAAAGGGTGGGACAAACCCTGAGACATTGCTAGCCTTGCGGGACAGAAGGTCATAAGACAGAAAAAGGGACTGGGGAAAGCATCAGTGTTAAGCCTCAAACTGCCTCCTGTTTCGTTTCAGTTCCATGAAGCTTGGAAAAAACTGATTGATTGGCTGGAAGATGCAGAGAATCACCTGGACTCCGAGCTGGAGATCTCCAATGATCCTGACAAAATCAAGCTCCAGCTCTCCAAACACAAGGTAGGGTTTCACTGAAAGGAAACCCTACTGGCTGGGGTGGAAGGGAGCTTCCTTCCTTGGGAGGGAGAGCAAGGCAGCAGTGGCAAATGGCATGTTCCACCTCCATTACTGCAATGGAAAACCTATAGCTGTGGATCTGCACAAGAGAGCCATTTATCTTCCTTGCGAGGTCAGGCCTTCTAAAGCAATTTCTTTTTCCCTTCCCTGTCGCTGGTTCTAAACGCAGGAGTTTCAGAAGACGCTGGGCGGAAAGCAGCCAGTCTATGACACCACAATCAGGACTGGCAGAGCCCTCAAAGAAAAGGCCTTGCTTCCAGATGACGCTCAAAAGCTGGACAATTTACTGGGAGAAGTCCGGGATAAATGGGACACTGTGTGTGGCAAGTCTGTAGAAAGGTAAGTCCAGCCAGAACCCTGCAGTAGCGGTGCTTGTTTGTCAAGGACCGTTATCAAAGGGAAAAGCAAAGCAGAGGAGGCAGGATGGGAGGCTGGTAATGTGGCAATTAGATGTGATGGGTGGGGGAAGTCACTGGGCCGTGGCAAAAGGAGGTGGGTGAAGTGAGAAACACTTCCTGATTTCAGAAAGTTCACATGGATGTTTGTTCTTCAGGCAGCACAAACTGGAAGAAGCCCTCTTGTTCTCTGGTCAGTTCATGGATGCGCTACAAGCCCTGGTGGACTGGCTCTACAAGGTGGAACCACAATTAGCTGAAGACCAGCCTGTCCATGGTGACCTGGATCTGGTTATGAACTTGATGGATGCTCATAAGGTGAGAGAGCCTTTTCCAGCCCTTCTCCACGGTGTAAGTGGAGTTTGTGTTCCCCAAATACCAAATAATGGAGGAGCCAGAGTTGGTACCTCTGCAGAGCTGCATGTCTCAACGCTTTGGTTTGCTGTGGTGGACAAGGAGGGCAATAACAGGGCAAATGATTGCAAAGAGACTTTTATGGTGCTGGAAAGGCTACAGGACCTGGAATTCTGTTCTTCCCAGACATTATCAGACAGATCTATTGAGTTTTGAAGAGGCAGTTGAGTTTATAATCCTCTCTAAACTGTGGTCTTGGCAGTTTTCTCCAGCGTGTCTTAGAAATTGGCACTCCTCCTGCTGGATTAGGTCATAAGTTCAAATCCCCGGACAGGGCTTGGGCTTCTGTTCAAAGCAGCTACTGCACTGCAGTGCGAGCTCCTTGGCTAGGGCCTACCCTCCTCCAGGTCATGATCATTTCTGCCAGTGTTTGCAGGCTGCTCTGGTCGAAATTCCAGGCTCCTGTCCTCCTCGAAGTTTTACCTTTGCTGGCAGCGCTCAGGCTGTCCACATGCGAGTGGAACATATTCAGATGCTCTGTGTGATATCTAGCTCTTAGCCTGCCCTTATCCCATGTAACTGGGCTATGGTGAACCTGTGATGTGCACCCAGGAGTGCGGGGGTAAACCCTTGTTGCAAACCATTTCAACTGTGACCCCCTGATTTTCCCCCCTGGGACTGACTTCTGCCCTCTTGCCCTGCAGGTCTTTCAGAAGGAGCTGGGGAAGCGCACAGGGACGGTTCAGGTGCTCAAGCGCTCCGGCCGGGAGCTCATCGAGAACAGCCGAGATGACACAACCTGGGTCAAGGTGCAGCTGCAGGAGCTAAGCAACCGGTGGGACACAGTGTGCAAACTGTCCGTGTCGAAACAAACCCGCCTGGAACAGGCCTTGAAGCAGGTGAGCAAAAGGCTACAGCTGGAAACTCTGGTCTTTTGAGAGCTTTCTCTGTAGTCTACTTTCCTGCCCTGGAGTTCGATGCAACCACCCTTGGAGAAGATGTCAGGGATGCTTCCTCCCCACGTCCAGGCGAAGGTCCTGGCCCTGCCAGTTGCCTGTGTAACTTGTGCCATGCTCTTTAACCTCTCTGTGCCTTTATGAAAATGGCAAATAGGTCCCCATGCCCCAGAGGAACATTGTCAGAACATTTGGAAGTACTTTGACAGGACAGATCCACGCTAGTGCTTTGGTGCTGGAAGCGCCTCCCTCGCCCTGAGGATGGCTGAGCAGGACACGCCAGTCCTGCAGCAGTTAACGGTCAGAACTGCGAGTGGTGGGATGGCGTCAGTTATTTCCTTATTTTTTCCCAAAGAAGAGCCGTTGAAGGCTTATTTGAAAAGGAAGGCTGAAAAGATCTCACTGATGTGCACAGCAGGCAGATGTGAGTCGCCAGGTGATCAGGGACTATTCAGACGTTGGTTTGCTGATGTCCAGTACAAGAAAGAGACCTAGATTAAAGCTTAAAAAAAGTCAAAAGGCTTGTAAGTAGATTTTATATCAAATAGGAAAAACTGCAGAATAAAATACCAAGATGCCAAATTGATCAGTATACAGGTAGTTGTGTTGTTTTAAAAAACATCCAGTTCTTCAATGCAGCTGATGCAGAGGAGAGTGAAAGGGAGATGCCCAACCTCTGCTTGTTGATTCAAGCTGGCCGGCAGGAGCTCCTGGGAGCTGTAGGACTCTTGTGCTGGTGCTGTATAAATCCAGACCAACAGTCAGTCGGGTCTTTTGTTTCCTCTCTTTTTTAAAAGACCTTTTCAGCCCCTTGTCTCTACAGCTCTCAGCAGCGAATCAAACGCCACGCTGCTCTGGGAGGAGGAGGAGGAGGAGGACTAATGCGTGTGCTCTGTGTCGCCGTAGGCAGAGGAGTTCAGGACGGCTGTGCACATGCTGCTGGAGTGGCTCTCAGAAGCTGAACAGACCCTCCGCTTCCGGGGCGCGCTTCCCGATGACGCCGAGGCATTGCAGTCTCTCATTGACATTCACAAGGTATCGGGCAGCTCTGAAATGCGAGGCACACCGGGGCCCGGAGCTGCCCTCAGCGTAAAGGGTGGACGTTAGGAGCAAAGGGCTGCTCGTTGCCTTTTCTTTTTAAAGCAGTGTAGGGACAATTTGTAAGCAGGAGTGTTTCAAAATAATCCCTTTGGGCCTTGTTTAAGTTCCTGCTTTTTGAAGGGTGTGAAGAGAAATTAAACTGGTTTTACAGTAAAAGACCCCAGGTGATTAGGAAAACAATACATATTAAATAACCTTGATGAAAAGTGTTTTCTTGCAGAGCTTGCAGGTAGATGTAGGGTGGAGATTGTAGAGGTGGGGTTGGAGGGACCTGGATTGCTGTTGCTGCTGTGCCAGCCCTTCATGCCCTTCCTGTGGATATCTCCCTTCCAGGAGTTCATGAAGAAAGTGGAGGAGAAGAGAGTGGATGTGAACGCGGCAGTGGGAATGGGAGAGGTCATCCTGGCCGCGTGCCATCCTGACTGCATCACCACCATTAAACACTGGATCACCATCATCCGAGCCAGGTTTGAGGAGGTGAGTCTCTGGGCCGTGCCAGCCGGCAGTCAGGAGGAGCACGCTCTCACTGCTGGGACAGTGACGGATTGAACTCGTGGGGCCTCCGTTGGACTTGGCCAGGCTTTACTCCAAAGAGACTGTTAAGAGATGGTGGGGTCTGACCAGCTGGGATCAGCTCTGAGACAGCACGTCCCTTACCTAGGGAGAGGTTGCTGCCTCGTTCCCGGAGTATGCCTCTGCTCTTGGCTTTTCCCCCTCCGGTGTGCCGTGCTTGGCTGATGGTGACCCTTCTGTTTCCAATAGGTTCTCACATGGGCAAAGCAGCACCAGCAGAGACTCGAGTCTGCACTCTCGGAGTTGGTGGCAAATGCAGAGCTTCTAGAAGAGCTCCTGGCTTGGATCCAGTGGGCTGAGACGACACTGATTCAGCAGGATCAGGAGCCAATGCCACAAAACATCGATCAGGTCAAAGCCCTCATCGCTGAGCACCAGGTAAGCCCAGGGCTGAAGGCAGCTTATTTTCCTGTGCTCTTGGGAGAGGGGCAGGTGGGATTTTATTCCTGCCACTCTGTGGAGGAGGCATTAGACTTCACTCTCCGTCCCTGTTAAAACGGCTTGTTACTCACCCAGAACTGTCACTGATGAACAAAGCCAGCCCAAGGGCCTGACTCAGGCTTGCAGATGAAAGCCAGAGCTATTCAATAGCTTTCCCACAAGGCCACATAATTAGTGTCTAGTGTCCTCTATGGGCTTGGGGTGTCCAAGTGAGAATCCAGAGCGATGGCAATTCGAGGCTGAGCACATCTTGACGACTGCTCTTATCTCACCTGTATTTTGACAGTCCTTTATGGAGGAGATGACACGAAAGCAGCCGGATGTGGACCGGGTCACGAAGACGTACAAGAGGAAAGCTACTGAACCCACGCACGGGCCTTTCATCGAGAAATCCCGTAGCAACAGTACGTTCCCTGCTTCTGATGCACAACCTTCGCTGCAGCACGTGCTATGATGGGGGGGAAATGAAATATGTAGGAAACTAATCACGGTTGATTGTCGATTAACGAGGCATCCTGCATTGACGGCCACCTGGCATGCAGTTAAAACTTGTGAAGACAGAGGGGGAGAAAATGCGGGTGGTGCTTGCCAAAAAGGAGGCGTGCCGCACCTCTGCGGAGGGGTGCACCAGCAGCCCTGGCCCAGCCTGCCTGCGTCTTATTTATCTCAGCAGTGCTGGGAAGCTCCTGCAGCCGCATCTCTCCTGTTTCCTTCTGCAGTTCGGCAACAAGATTTTCCCTTTGTACTTGTTCCTTGAAACCAGAGTCCCTTGGCAACACTCTAGTGCAAAGGGGTGGACGGGAGCACCGGGGGATTTGGGTGCAAAGCTGTCACCTTGTCCTCCCTCCTAGGAACATTGCTCAAGCCTGCGTTTCTATTCAGAAAGCAGCTGGCAAGCCTGTGGGAGGGGTTTTTTTTTGTATGAAATATAAAGTGTACTTTGCTGCTGCCTTTTCTTGGACCATTCAGATTTGTTGTACCCATCAGTTACCTGAAACAATGCTTTTTTTTCTCACTTTTTCCAGGAAAATCTTTGAGCCAGGCAGCCCCCCCTACCATGCCCATTATCTCCCAGTCAGAAACAAAGAACCCCCGGATCAACCAGCTCTCGGCGCGCTGGCAGCAGGTCTGGCTGCTGGCCCTGGAGCGGCAGCGGAAACTCAACGATGCCCTGGACCGCCTCGAGGAGGTAACGGCCACGCAGTGCTCTCTCGAGGGCCGGGGCAGCGTTGCCCCGCGGGCTGCTTGCAGGAGGTGCGAGGAGCATCTTACCTTAGTGCTGCCTCCTAAACTGTCCCGGTCCTGCAGACGATCACTGCTGCACTGCTAAAAATGCCAAAATGCCTTCTGAAATATTAAGGCTGAAAAGTACCTTCTATAATTAACTGCACATTAATGAACTGCTTTGTGCCCTTGCGGTCGGTATCTTTAGAGGTAACGAAAGCCAGGCCTGCTTTACACACCTAGTAATCAGCTTAACAATTATCGTGGTGCTGTATATATCTTTTCCAAACATCTAATGTAATTTTTGTTTTTATTTATGCTTAACAAAGCAGCTATGCCCAGAAGTGAGTGTTTTTGTTTTCTGTTGCTTTTTCTGTAGGTCAGTTCAGTTTATACGTATTAATGTTTTTTTCTTCGTTACTTTTAACTCCAGGAATGTTTAGAGAGAGGGAAAAAAAAAAGCACTAAAAATGTTGCGTTACGTTGCTCTGAGCTCCCTTAAGTAGTGGGATCTTGGGAATGCTTTTGGGCAGGGGGGAAGGACGTTAAGTTAAACTGGAGGGCGAGTGGTCCGTCGCGCGTGGGCTGCAGAGACGAGGCGTGGGTATCGCTGGCGCGCGTGCCGCAGGGCTCGGGGAGAGGGAGGGGACACCGTTTAGCCGGGGAGGAAAGTTGTGTTTCACCTTGGTGGAAACACTGCTGGCTTTTCCGGACAGACGAGCCAGAACGCTCCCACTTGCTTAGAGGAAAAGGGACTGGGGAGATGGGTGCCCAAAACTGAGACAGGAACGGGCAATCCACCCAGGCAGAGACTGGGGAAACGTTAGACCAAATCCTGGGGGAAAAGCGCCCGAAAATGTCTAAAACCAGCCGATGTGTGTGTGCGTCTGTGTGCAAGTAGCTGATCTATCCGCGTGTCTGTACGTACGCAAGCCTGGGGGTGCTTCCTCCCGTGTCGGTGGTTCCGTGACGCCCGTTCCCCGCGGTGGCTGTCGGCTGCGCTGTGTGTCCTTCTGTCCCAGAAAGTCGATTTAACCGGCCCTGTCGCTGACAGCAGTCGCTAGCTAAACCTTCCTGGAAGCGTCGCTTGGGAAGGGTCAGAGTTAGCACCTAGAGTTCAGGCACGGTCTTGTCCAAGGCTGACGTTTCAGGCTGTCATAGAGCTGGGGGGTTTTGGGGGCGTTTTCCAGTGCTGACTCTCGTGGGTTTTCTTCCAGTTGAAGGAGTTTGCAAACTTTGACTTCGACGTCTGGCGAAAGAAGTACATGCGCTGGATGAACCACAAGAAATCCCGCGTCATGGACTTCTTCAGGCGCATCGACAAAGACCAAGATGGAAAAATCACCCGGCAGGAGTTTATTGATGGCATCCTGGCCTCTAGTAAGTCCTCGTCTGCTCCGACCCAACTGCCCCCAGCACGTGCTGCCCCTCGTCTCGGGGAGCCTTCCTTGGTGGCAGAGACAAGGTGGGAGTCCAAGGGGGTTGTCCTCTGCCAAGAGTGCGCAGGAGTGAAATGAAATGGGGAAACAGCCACCTCAGCGTGGCAAGAGGCTGCTCGAGGCCTGGGGTTCAGACTCTGCAGCCACCAGTGGTGGCAGGCGAGATTTGGGCATCGGTTACTCATCTCCTTCCCCGTTGCAGAGTTCCCCACCACAAAGCTGGAGATGACCGCAGTGGCTGACATCTTTGACCGTGACGGGGACGGCTACATAGACTACTACGAGTTTGTGGCTGCTCTCCATCCTAACAAGGATGCCTACCGCCCCACCACTGACGCAGACAAGATCGAAGATGAGGTAAAGGACCCAGAGAGATGGGCCTTCTGGTTTGGGGTGGGTCAGGCTGTGGTTTGGCAGCTGGGGTTGGAGAAAACAAAGAGGAGGAAGAAAAAGGCCTGTGTTGGTGCTGACCTAAAGTAATTTGTCCGAGTATCACCACATCTACCGCCTAATCTAATTTTTAAAGGGAAGGCTGCTTAGATCTCCGTTTTATCCAAGCAGTGCCTTGTCTTGGGGAGACTCCTGCCCCGGGCAGGAGGTGGAAGAAGCCCTGTCTCTTACTCTTGCTCGTTTGCACCGGCAGGTCACGAGACAAGTGGCCCAGTGCAAGTGTGCCAAGAGGTTTCAAGTGGAGCAGATCGGCGAGAACAAATACCGGGTAAGGGAGAGTGGCCCGAATTCAGCCGTAACGGCACAAATGCTACTTTCGGTTCATGCCTAGGGAGGAAGCTACCAAAGAGAGGTGCTCAGTGTGTGGTTTCTGCTTAGCCGAAGCCAACCGAACCTTTCAGCCGTCTGCGGGATGCGGCGGCTCCGGCGCTGTTTGCCCAGCGCTGTCCTCCCCACGTCAGCCAGCGGCGCTCGGTCCGTTCCCAGGGCGTTCCCCGTTTCGGGAGCGCCGGGCAAATATAAAAGTGGCACTGTTCTGGGGGAGCCCGGCCCGCTCGCCACATGAAATGTTGTATTCACTCCAAACAGCCGCTGCCTTGAAGTTTTTCTCGTGTATGAGTGTACCTCACGCCTATGTTTTTCTTAGCTCATTTCTAAAGAAGTAGAATAATTTCCTTAAAGAATCTCTTTGTAATGGACTGCGTGTTTATGTTTCAAATTATTCACTTCTGAAACGAACTGGCAGCAAACCTGCCCGGTTTCCTGCGCGCTTTTTTTCAGGACTTGCGTTTTGGCACGGCGGAGCTGAAACGCAGAGTTCGTCCCCTTTGGCCGCATCGAATTTCAGGCTCGCGTGGTGAATTTCAGTGTGTCGAATTGCAGCGTCTACTTTAGAACCGAATAGCATAAAATCCACAGATTTCTAACGACCTGCAGTTAACAGTTTTCATGATGATTGCACTGTTAATCCCATAAAATGTTTTTCTTGTTTCTCTTCCCCCTCTTCTTCCTCTTGATGTTCCTTTCCCTCCCCTCCCCAACCCGTATCCCTCCAACACTTGTCTGTCTCCGTAGTTCTTCCTCGGCAATCAGGTACAGTTTGCCTTGTAATGCTGTCTCTCACTTCTTTTTAACAACCGTAGCTTGCTGTATGTCCGTAATGCCCGTCTGTCCTGTGGTGCTGTGGGAGGACGTGATCTGTTCAGTGCTGCGGTGTAGAGCTTGTTGTGCTGCTCAGCAGAGCCTGGTACATAAAGCGCGCGAGCTGAGAGCGCAATCCGAAAAGATTACGACGGAGTTGGGCAGAAAGAAGGCAAAAGTTCAATAGAAGAAATTGGGCTTGACACAAATTGAGAGATTTTTTCTGAGGAGCTTGCGCAAGGGCTGTTTTCCCCTTGGGTGGACCGTCAGCCTTTACAAAATCTTAGGAGTAAAACTTCCTGCACCAGGACTGTGTACCAGGCTCTGGCTGCGTCTGGGTCGCGATCCGCATGGAATGAGAATGCCGAATCCACATATTTTAATCCCGTAGGTAACGATAACTAAACCTTCATCCCTGCTACACCCACTGAGTAACTCCTAACTGGAGCAAGGCTCTCAAAACCTCCGTGTTTCCCGTTACTGCTCTGCTCGGAGGTTAGCGTTGCCACGTGTGTAGCTGCCAGCTGGTTCGGGTGTTGGTACTGGGACAGGAGCAGCGCGTGCCCCCGCTCCCCCCGCTCGAACAACAAAGGCGATTGTTCATGTGGTGCGATGCTGCCTTTCCGTAAATGCGATGCCCTGAAAAGAAAGAAATTTGGGTTTCGAAAGCAAACGGATCCAAGACAGCTCTGGTTCCATTTCAGACAGGAAAAGCTTCAAAGGCAACTGAAAAGCTAACTGCGGCCGTGCAAATGAGAGTTAACATGGCACCCGTTTTTCCCCAGATCAGAGGAGCTCTGCTCCTAAACTGTCTCAAGACCTGTCCGCTCTGCGACGCTGCAGCCTGCCTTGCTTGTGCCCATGTATCTGAACTAGCTTCTAGCTAGGTATTTGAAGGACCCAGAGGGTGGAAAAGACACCTCTGCTGCCCTCTCGTCCCCTCCCGGCGGCTGTGTTGGAGCGCGGTCCCGGGCCCCATCCCTGCGGGAAGGACGGGTCTGCCAAGCCCCCTGCGCTGCCTCTCGCCCCCTCTGCCTGCAGTGCCCCATCCAGACCTGTCTTGGACTCTTGTTTTCATTTTGTCTCCTGTTTTTTGCATTCTTACCTACCCAGGGAACATGTTACTGCTTTTTTATCGTTCTGAAGACGCTCTCACTTCCAAAGAGGGGTTCTCTTATCTTCTCATCAGAGCACGTGCTCTGCAAGCCGGGGCGCAAAGCGGCTGCCTCTGAGCCGGGCTCCCGGTGTCCAGTTCAGGCCCTGCCAAGTGCCTCATGCAGAAGGAAGCCACGAGCCTGGGCTTGGCTGTCTGGGAGGTTTAGGATAGCAAGAGGGAGCCTTGAGAAATCAGCCACACGCTTCTGATTCAGGGTGCACTTGTTTGAAATTGCAGATGTTTAAAATCACTAATGAACATTGCAATCACTAATCAACATCGCTGCTGGATTCCTCCGTGGATTCCCATCATTCTGCACTCACTGAAACATCCTCATGGGGCGACGGTTTCTGCGGTGGGAGCTTTCTGGCTGGTGGGGTCAAGTCTGAGGCTCAGGGAGATACCTGGACTTCAGACTTGGTGAGAGGTTTCTCTCTCGGTGGTGACGCAGCACTGCTTGCCTTGCTGGTTCACCAGCCTTCGGGGATCCGAATCAGCCATTTCTTCTCAGAGTGGACTTGCACCAGGAGTGTCAGTACATTGACTGCCTCTGTTTTCTTCATAATAAAGGGAAAAACCACAATTCTGGCTGAGAAAACCCATCCAAAAACTGAATTCCAAATTCTCATTTGCTGCTTAAAAAAAAAAAAAAAACCTTCAACTTTAAAACTAAATGATTTTGGTAGTTGCATCTTCCTAAAGTCATGCAGCAGAAAAAATCCTGTAAATTGGTGCCAGTGTGCATTTATTCCAGAAGAACATAGTTGTAGAAACCGCAAAAGTATTTAATAGATCAGAAAAAACATTTGGGACTGCACTGAGTTTTTTAAATAGTCTAGTCCCGGTTGTGACCTGTGCTTTGCTCTGGTGCAGCCTGCTCTGGAAAAGAGCTGCATTTCCATTTATGTCCCTGTTGTCTGACCTGCTCCTTTCTTGGTTCTGCAGTTTGGTGATTCCCAGCAGTTGCGGCTGGTCCGTATTCTGCGTAGCACTGTCATGGTTCGAGTTGGCGGAGGATGGATGGCCCTGGATGAATTTTTAGTGAAAAATGATCCTTGCAGAGGTAAGACAGTTCTGGTTTTCTAACTCCATTCTCTTCCATTGGTGTGAGCCTGAGAACTTACCAGAGACGCTTTTTGTCTGCACTGACTGTAAATTGCCAAATGATACTAGATACTCCAGCAAAGTGGGGCTGGGTTATCCCAGTAACAGGCAGGAGTTGGAGAAAATGGATCAGTAAGAAATCACAAAACTTAGTGCTGCCATATCTTGCAATTTTACAGCAAATCTTGCTGCATCTAGGTTTCTTAAGCGGAGAGGGAAAGGGTTGTGTGTTGTTATTTTTAAGACTCCAGCAAACGGAGTTGCATTGCTGTACGGAGGATCTTAGCTGTGCTTTGAAGCACTGACTGTGTATGTAGGGCTCTTTGGATAAAGAAGTAAACTTCGTAAAGGTGACCTGAAAAGTGACCTCAAAACCAGGCGGCTGTAAAATCCTGATCTGAGCCACTGGGGAGGAGATGCTGTGGCCCAGGATCCTTGAACCCCTGGCGCTGGCCGCACATGCTCTGGCCCTGGTGTGCTGAGAATTCAGGCTAGTCCTCATCATTAAGGAGTCATCTCTCCTGTGACTTTAAATGACTTATTTGATATACATCTAATGCATTTCTAATACAAATTTTCTCAGCTCGTCTTCTGCCTTCTGAGCGGCGGCATAAGGCACTGTTTTGGAAACCCTGAGCTGTGCAACACTGAGCAACGTAAATACTTGTTTGCAGTGAGATCTGCTGCCAGTCCTGGGTCTTCCTCTAGCGCCTTAAAAATGCCTTTTTCCTCCCCGCTCTGTCGGTGATGGTCAAAACCTGGCCCTCTCTCCTTTCTTTCTGGATTGCCACGTGCCAGATTTGAGTTTTAACGAGGCTGCATTTAGACAGCATCGCTCACGGAGTTGTTTGGGGCTGGGTTGGATTTCTTTGGGGGATTTTGGGCACCGCATCCTGCTGTAAGTGTAAGTGTCACACTGCACAGCTGTGTCCCAGTGAACGCCCAGCAGCAAAGCAAGAAAGATGTTTCACTTTAGCATTAATGCAGGTAAAATCCAAGTGCAAGAAACTCCTAGACAAATCCAGCTCGAGGAAGACGCAGCGGCACATTAGAAAGGAGAAAAAATAAAAGAATAAAAATATGATCTTGTGTTTTTAGGGCTCAAAAGTTTCCTAGAGGCTCTGTGTGTGCACGCTACGCCTTTGCTGCAGGGCATGGCCTTCCCCGGCTCCCTCCACCCTGCCGCCGCTGCGTGGGGCCCCCGCTGGGGCGGGGGGCCGCCGGCGCCCGCCAGTCCCCCCTTTGCCCTCAAAGCGCTTCGCTCTTGACCAATTTCTGCCTTTTCCTGCTCTGTTCGTTTCCTTGTCTCCTGTGTATTTTCTTTATTCTAGTTCACCACCCTGGAGGTAAAATAAAGCGCTCTGATTCCAGCTCATCGATTGCCAGTCAGTCTCCGATAGGTTGGCGTTTTTCTGCTTCCTCCCCTCCCCGGCGCCCCCGATCTTACCGGCGAGAACGGCCTTGGTTCGCCTCTAACCTCCCTTCCCCTGCAGACGGCATGGCCCCCACTGCTCGGGGCCGTTTAAGCGGTTTTGGCGAATTCAGCCGTTTCCAAAGCAGAGTGACCTCGTAAGAGGCTGCGGACCCCGCTCTCCGCTGCACGCCGCGCCGCCGGCCAGGGCTGCAGCCTCCTCGTCCTGTCCGGGAGGATGGAGCCTGCCTTCTTTTCTTTGCATGGCTCTCCATAACCATAGTAACCAAACAGCTCGAATCTGCCTGTATTTACTGTCACGGCACCCCGTGAGGTAGTGTTGCGCTCAGTCCACCATGCCAAGGTACAGAGCCCTAGTAAAATGAAGTCTGGGTTTAATTTAAGTGCCTGATGTAAGCACTTCAGCTAAATCCCCAGCTGCACGCGTGGGCGACGAAGGCAGAGCCCCCTCCTGGGGCTGGCTCCGTCCTCCCGAGAGCCGAGCCGTTTCGGAGAAGCCTGTCTTGCCTTCCCATGGGCTAAAGGGGACTTCCACCTTTGGCACCGAGGTTAAGCAGGGTGGATCACGTTTAAAGGACTCAAGGAAGGCTGTGCAGGATCGGTGTAGCCCAGGGACTCGGTGTCCAGAGGTGATTCCCAGGTAGCAGCCATTCTTCCCACTGGGGGTTGGAATGTGGTCCCCTGAGAGCTGCATTGATGAGAAACGTTTGGAAGTGGAGGTTGGGACATCCTGCCCCGATAACGAACACCAGGATCACGAACCACACTGGGGAGTCAGGATCGGCTCCTTTTTGAAACGTTCGGTCTTGAGACCCTTATCAGTCAGTCACTTTTGTGCTGGATTTGGTCTTCTGCTGGGACCGGTCACCAGAGCCTTGATCAGGGGACAGACGTGAGAGCTGGATGTGACCCCACAGGTGACTTCTGGCAGCAAGAGCACCCTTCAGGTCCCGTTTCTTCTTCCATGTGCAGCTCTCCTCCATGTCCATATCATCTCCGGCTCTTCCTTTTCTAATGCTATCCAACAAAGCCCATGTGATGGCCAGAGAACTTGGGGTAACTCATCTGCTCCCCTGCCAATCCTGAAATGGTTTTTGGCCCTGTGCTTGGTGTGTTTGTTGCCCCATGGTGCACACAGATAACCAGCCTGAGTCCTGTTATTCCACTGCTTGCTGCTTTATGCAGCCATCAAAGTCACCAGCAATGCCGTGTTTGTCCCTGAGATCATTTGACAACTTTTAGCTGGCGCTAGGACATTAATTAACATGACAGGAAGCCACATGGCAGAGTCCAACAGCTGGCATGTATATATAGGTTATTTTTAAAGAAAGGAAAAAACAAGCGTGCAGCTGGAGCCAGGTCCAGCTGCATCTTCTGCAGCTGCTGCCTCCCCAGCAGTGCTGAGCGGCCTCAGAGCAAGGTCTGGCGGCAACCCCGGCTCCTCGGTTGCTCTAGGAGGAGAGGAGCATTTAGAAGCTTTTACTGCAACTCACTGCATATTTTGAAGCGGTTGGGCCTGTTGTCCATATGTCCCTATCTCACCGGGGTCTTGGAGATATTAATTGCTTTGGATGTATTTTCTTGCTTAACCATTCTTTACTTCTGTTTCCTAACGGTGGTTGCTGAAATCAGCATGACTCACAACATGTGCTGCTTGCTTGGTGTAACCTCTAGGGTTTTACTATTGCAATCCTGCTCCTCGGGCCTCCCCTGTTAATGCTTCGCAGCAGATGTTTTGGAGCGCTGACATCAAAGTTATTTCCATCACTGGGTTATCTCAGCATGGTGCTTCTGTTTTGCAAGTGTTTCTTTGGCTTTCTGGTCTGTAATGCATCGACTCTAAAATTGCCTTGTTCCGTGAGGCTTTCTGCATGGCCTTGCTCTGTTATACCCCACAACTTTGAAATACTTCAGCACGTGCCGGTTGGCCTAGGAGCTGAAGTCTGCCGACCTTCTCTCTGCTTGGTTTCCCCTTGCTTGTCAAAGGGAGACCCTCCAGCTCTTGGGGATGTTTGGATGGAAATTTTAAAATTGGCCTTTAATGGGTGGTGGTCACCTCTCTTTCTTGCCAGAGCAGAATCACAACCTTTCAAAGCTGCTCTTAGTATTTTTAAGCCACTTTAAAAACAATATCAGCTGCTGTTGTAACGCGCCTTGTTTAAAGGCTGCGGTAGGTGCCTCCCCAAAGGGTACTAAAGAATAACAGAGCATCCAGGATGAGTTCGTGGGTCTCAGGCAGCCTCTAATGGGCAATTTTTCAAAGAGTCGATCTGTGACGTGAGATACTTGGGATGGCGTGAGAGAGCTGGGGCAGTCTCACTGCTGAGGCAGGAGGGGCAGCAAGGGGACCTGCTCGCCCTCGGAGATGGCCTTTCCGAGCCGTTGCAAGGATGAACGCTCCAACGTTTCCAGCCTCCTGAGACTCAGTGACAGTCGTGAATTCACACAAACCACCACAGATCTCAGGAGACCTTTTTGTTCCCTTGCAGCACGAGGACGGACCAACCTCGAACTTCGAGAGAAATTCATCTTGCCAGAGGGGGCATCCCAGGGAATGACGCCGTTCCGGTCGCGGGGCCGAAGGTCAAAACCATCTTCCCGAGCAGCCTCCCCAACTCGATCCAGTTCTAGTGCCAGCCAGAGCAACCACAGCTGTGCGTCCATGCCCTCCTCTCCGGCCACACCAGCCAGCGGAGCCAAGGTAGGGGTTGCACTTCAAGCTGTTCTCCAGCTTTCTGTTCCTTTCCTTTAGAAAGCAGTGGCCTCCAAACCCGTTCCGGTGAGATGACTATCTGGATGGAGGAGGAGAGGGAAGGTTGGGGTTCAGGACTCAATGGTTACTCAGATGTTCATGGTGGTGGAGCGTGACACCAACGCAGGGACAACCCTTCTGGCGCGCGGGACTGGGGCAGGATGGTTCACTCGTGTTCAGGACAGGTCGTCATCTTGTTGCTCTCCACCGTGCTTGTGACTGGAGCTCCTCCTAGCAGGCGACCTCCTTGTCCTGAGTGCGAGCGGGCTCAGCAGAGGGGCCAGCTGTGCTCCTAGAGCAGCGGCCAGGCTTCTTGTCTTCCCCAGCTGCTGCTCTCCTGGAGCTGGGCCATCAGGCTAGCACGGAGGAAGAAGTGATTTCCCGTTGTCTCTCCTTTCCTACCACATCGTTCGCCCATGCATGTTTTATTTTGATTTTTTTTTCTTTTTGGAATTTATATATTTTCCATTTGGTTCTTTTGTTTTGTTTTTGTGCTGTTTATTTTTTTCCCATTCCAGATACTTTTCTGTTTCATTTTTTTCACTCACTTCCACCTCTTCCCCCTTCTCCCCACTCTCTCTTTGGATTTTCCATTTCACAGACTCCACATCACTTCTCTCGATGTTATGACAAACCCTGGTTGATAAACAGTAAAGCGGGCACCCCTCTGAGGGGATACGATTATTCCGACTTCCAGCTCTCGAGCACCGAGGTAGAGTATGGTCTCCTAGTCCCAAGGACCTGTTGAAAGGCCGGAGTGCAGCTGCCAAAGAAAAGTCCTGCTTCCTTTCCTGTTTAATGCTTTTCCTTTTGTTAGACCAGCGGCTTGTTAGCACAGCTAACGCTGAGTCTGTTGGCGTTTTTCATGGGTTTCTAACTCGGCTTAAACAAAACATCAACCTTTACAACAAAACACAATGTGCAGAGTTGTCTGCTTGCAATTAATATTTACTTGTTTTCAAATGGAAAGAGTATTATTTGTCGCGTTGTGCTTTAAAAAAAAAGAGGAAATTTCCAAGCTTTAACAGCTTTTATGTATTCAAAAAAGACCACGATTGGTATGCAAAAATTGGAATCCAACAGCCGAGTTAAGACTTGAAAATCAGCTACAGCGCATGCACAGTAACCACTTTGCCTTCATTTTTATGAAGTGCTTATAGTTATCACTGTGTTGAAGCACGTATGGTATGTCTGGTAAGATCACAGGCTCGCTTGTGTTTGATGTTCAGAGCAAGATGAATTCGTGTTGAGACTTCAATCTGCCTAAAATTTCAGCCTCCTCGTGGACTTTCCCGATCTTGTGAATTGGTGGTGATAAGAAATACCTGGTAGATTTTGGTGATTCACTTCAATGGTAGTTTGCACTGTCAAAATAACTCGATCTTGCTTGAAAGCATTTTCAAGCAAAGAAGATTTTTTTTTTAATCCTCAGAAGGTCAGGAGCCCTTTCTGAATTGCCCTAAATTACCTGCTTGTTGCTATAACTTGCGTATAATGTAGGATCAAGGACCAGAATGGAAATCTCTGATAACGAAAACCATACCCTCACGATCCTCTGTCATTTGAATTTAATTCCCATGGCGACAGAAGGGAAGCCCAGTGCTTGGCTTTCCTTCTTCTGCTGCCCTGTCCTCCACCGTAGCTCCAGTTTCATGCGATTCAGAGATTCTTAAGTTCTCCAAAAGTCTCCAAATTACAGGGAGTGGAGGGAAACGTCTCCAGCTGCTGCTTTGAAGTACGTGGAGAGATGCCCCTCCGGTGTCACCTCTGCAGCTCGCTGGTCCCCGCCGGAGGGACTGGGAACGCCTCGGGCAGTTGCTCCCCTGCAATAACGCTGATCTGCCTCGAACCCAAAGCTTTGGTTTGCATCTGAAACTGGAGCTGCCCTTTGCAGTTGGATCCAGGCGCCCTCTCTCTCCTCGACGCCCTTCTCGGCCTTTTGTCCGTCTGTGTCCTTCCGCACCGGCGGGAGGAGGCTGCGTGTCGTGCTGCTTTCCCCCGTGTTCGTCCGCAACATCTTAAAGGTCACGGAGCGACCCGGTCCAACACGCACAGGGTGCGGAGGGCGACCCAAGCCACCTCGCCGGAGCTTCCCGTTCCGCTGCGTTTTGTGTGTTCGGTCGTCGCTGGTGCCTCCTTGTTTGCATTTGTCCGTCCTTTGGAAGCCAGCGCAGTGTTTTGTGTGTGTGCACGGACCTGTCCCAGGGGACGTACACCAGGAGAAAGTCCTTCTGACTTACAGCATCGCACAGCACAGATGCGCTCCTACAACTATATATATATATATTTTTTTTTTTTTAAGTACTGCATTGTATTTCGGTTGTGGTGTGCTTTTGTTTTTTTTTTTTTTTTTTTTTTTTTTTTTAAAACGAACAGAAATAGCTGTGCGTCAACCTGCCGTGCACAAAACTGCTGTCGGGATTCGCAGGATCCAGACTGTTTTTCAGCTGCTGCTTGAAACGAGCACTTGTGTCCTCCTTGACCATTAAGATGGATGTTTCTTATGTCTCAAAATCTTTTTGCCGAGGTAGCGATCTCTGACGTGCCGTCGATCGGGTAAGGCAGCCTGCCCACGCGGCATCTGAGAGATGCTCTCTGTGCTCTTCGTTCCAAGGTGACTCCGCCGGCGGGCAGCAAGCTGAAGCGACCCACCTTCCACTCCAGCCGGACCTCCCTCG